AGTTAAAGATAGTTAGAATGATGATCATAATGATACTCAATGGTAGTCTAATAAAAAATCTTAGGTGACCAAATAGGTGATTGATGGTAGTCTAAATAATAGTCATTGATGGTTGATAATAGTGATCGACGCCCATTGTTAAAGATGTCTAATTTTAATTTTTTTATTTGAGTTTTAGTGATAAATTATTTTGAAATTAAGTAAAAAAAAAACATCTTAAGTTTATTTTCGTCAAACATGTTTTGATTTTAAGAATAACATTCAAAATAAAAGACCAAAAACTCAATATTATTTCACCCGCTAGTATTTGACATATTTGTATCAAATTCATAAACTTTATTGATCAATTTTTAAAGTTTATCCAACGTAAGTCAATACCCATAATAATTACATAGACTTCATTGATCAATTTTTGAAGTTTATCCAACATCCATAATAATTACATAGACTTTATTGATCAACTTTTGAAGTTGATCCAACATGACTCAATGCCCATAAGAATTAGTAGAGCGAAAGAAAAACCATCCTTCTTTCTATTAAACATTACACTAGTAGAGTTTAGCAAACATTATAACTTGAAACCACCCTCATTGGACAATTGAATTTGTATTTGAAGTAAACAATGTTACGCAAGTATTAATAATACACACACAAAATTAATATAATCACAATTTTCTACTTTAAATTACACATCCTAGTATACACAACATATTGCACTAAGAATTTCCAAGTTGTCACTATATGCATAATAAGCACACTTCAAAAATAAAGAATTTCTTTTTACATTAAAGAATGAACAAAATCAAACCGTGGAATGGACACATTCACTGTGCTTGGTGTTGAAGATTCAAATTCAATCTCAAAACTGTGTACTCATAAGCTCTATGCAACCTTTTTCTGAATCTTCTAAGGTCCAATTTAACATTTTGGCTATCAAGATAAATCTTCTTTGTATATTCCCACCCTTTGTTTGTAATGCTATCAGGGTCACTCAAAATAGGATCATTTTTATCATATTTATCATATAAAGAGCTTTCTTTAGGGTGAATTTCATATCCTATGTATTTCAAACCAAGTTTTCTTGCAGGTTCACCATAATAGGTATCTGCAGCCCAATTAGTACCAAGAGGAACAACTTGAATGAACACAGATTTAGGTTTCATGAACATAAAATGTGTCATTGCTGCTCCATGAACACCAATCATCACATCACTTTCATTAAGTACTTTATAAATCTTGGCCAATTCCGAAGTTTTTTTAGGCTTTAAAACCGCAACATGAAATCCAATTTCTTCAGCCATTTTCACTAGCAAATTCTCATTAGTTATAGCTCTTGAACCACTTCTAGAGATGATAACTAACTTTGGTTTCTTTCGCACAATTTCTAGCACTCCTTGTGAGGTTTCTGAGTCTGATCGCGACGATGGAGATAAGGAATTTTGTTGTTGTTCCCTTTCCTCTTCGCGCAACAGTCCTTTAATCCGCGGCGAATAAGCTTTATCCAAAAGCTTTCTGAAATCAACAATGCTTTTGTTACCCTCCATCAATGAGGAATCCACGGCTAGCTCGTCGTGGATTTTGAGACCAACAATCGCTTCATTGAAACAATGAGTCCGGTTATCTTCGCTAAAATCAATCGGAGGAAACTCCGATAGATGAGAAAGGATGTCGCCGTATTTCATAATCCACCAACTATGATACTCAAGTATCACAAACACAACCTTCTTGTTGAAACGCTGTGAAGTGATATACAAAGGTATGATTCCGTCGTTGAATTCGTGATAAACGTTACCAGTGTATCCTCCATTAGAGAAGAACACTGCCGGAACATCGTGATGAACATCACATTTTCGAACTCTCCGCGAATTTACTTTCTTTGAGATAAGATTCAATTCATCAATTGTGTCCATCACACTTGTCTCCCATTTTCTAGTATATGGCTTTATCTTCTCTTGTTGAAGAACTTGTTCCTCTTCGTTTTCAACTTTTCTTCCATTAACGGTCCTTGAAACATTATTCTTGTTTATTGAGTTGTAGAGGAAGATTGAAGAGGAAGAAGAATCTGTTCTTATATCACCTTTCATCACACAGATATCCGAACGATAACCAGTTCTATCGCAACATATAGTTCCGGTAGAAACGGAAGAACAAGTAGAAGCTTTCACATCAACACCGTGTTGGTTGGCATCGTTTTCAGGTCCATTAGAGTCTGAAAAACAAGAAAAAACCATCAACACAAAGCAAAATAAGAAAAACAAGAAAATCGGAAACAAGCGTTAGATTAGAGATGCTTACATAGAAGAGATAGATAAAAAGAAGGTCCAAGGAAGAAAGGTGCGAAGACATAGCAACAGGAGAGAAAGGTGATGAGGAAGAGAAAAGACAGAAGCTTAGGCTTTGTTCTCTTGTAATAAACAGAGGTTGCACAGTCCATGAGATGAAGCTGTGATTCTTCGTCTTTGATGGAGTCTGGAGATCTTTTACGGTGATGATGAACCATTTTTTTGATGTTGTTGAGAGAGAAAGAGAGAAGAAAGTATAGTAGTTTGGTTTGAGGTGAGGGTTTAATTTGGCTTGTTGGTGATGGAAAAGAATGGGAAAGAGAATAAAAAGGAAAGTGGAAAGAAAGAAAGGTAAGAAGTTTGAAAAGGAAGGTTTAGAGTTTCAAAGTTGGGGGAACTCGGTTTTCTATGCTGTTGCTGTTGTATTGCTTGAGAGTTGAGACACGGATACAGTACAGCTATGTGTTTAGTTTACGTTATTTGATTCATTCATATCTGGTTGGCTTGGCGTCTTGGCTCTAGTCTATTCACGCGCAGAAATGTAAGACTTTACTTTATGACATAATGACAACATGGAATGTATCATTTTGGGTTTAATCATAATTAGAGTGTGTATTTCAAAATTAATTAATTTTGTATTTACAACCGAAAGTGATATTTATTTTATTAAAAACTTTTATCTTGAATATGTAAATCCTAGTTTAGATATAGATATGTCAAAGGCCCAATCGAACAATGCAATTTTTTTTATCCATCTGTCACCATTTAAAAAAAATATGTATCAAAATACTACAACGTGAAAATTACTATCAAGATGACACTATTTATGTTAAGGTTCGCCCAAGAAAAGGACGAATTTACAAAGCAGTTTTCGTCATGCATGAACTCGACCAATAAAAGAGAATTTATTTTTTATGTTTTAAAATATATAAAACTTATATAATATATATTGTAATATAATAATTTTATAAATAATATAATTTGTATTATATTAATATTTTAAAAAAATTGTATAAATTGTATAAAAATGATTTATATAATATAATAACATTAAAAAATAATAATAGTTTTTAAAATAATATTATAATAAAATAAAACATTTCTATTTGTTCAACAATAAAAATATTTTTTTAATAAATATTTGTATTAAATATTATTATATTTTAACTCATATTATCAATTAATACCATTTTAATATTTTAAAATATAATTTATTATTATCAATTGCATAATAATTGCATGAAGAAGCTCGGTCATTTGTTGGCCAAGTTCGGCCATCCATTGGCCGAGCAAGTGAATATTATATTATTTTTGAATTTTCTATATATAGCATTGATTAGGTATCTTTAGTTCTTAGATCATCTACATCCATTTTAATTTTTTTATTTTTAAAAATGGAGTATTTTACTAATCTAAATACTCCTCTTACCAAAAGAGATGTTCAACTGGTTTTAGAGAAGCCACTGTTGACGATCTAAAAATGGAGTATTTTACTAATCTAAAGCCACTATTGACGATCTGACTATGGAACATAGTGATATTCAAGCACTTTTAGAGAAGCCTGGTGAGATGGTTAGAAGGAGAAATTGTTGAAGGTGAAAAGATTAGAAGAATTGAAAGACTTATTAATGATGGAGATATATGGCAAGACCTGGAAAGCTGTAAAAAAACGATTATGGTTGTGCTATGATGATGTATAGACAAGTAGATATTGTCTTGGTGGTTGTAATATTCTAAACATGTTTAGATTTTAAATTGTTATAATGTTTATCGTCTTGTTTGTTTAGGTGCGGTTTATTTATTTTGATATTGTCGAATGTTGAATGAAAGTTGTATGAGAGAAATAAAAAAATTCCACAAAATTAAAGTTATATTAATTGAAAGTTTAATTAAAAAAACAAACAAATTAATCTAGACGGGCTGATTTGACGGGTCTTGCTATATTTGGAAATTTTCTAGGCCAATTTCTCGACAAATCCCACACCTTCTCTTTTCTTTCTCAACGTCGTCCATTTCGATTCTAATTCTTATACTATTTGGACGTCATTTCTTCTTCTTTCGCATTGTCTCGTCATGGCAAAGAGTAAATGCTTCATATGTTAGGCAATTTTCATGGTGTGGAAGTCCAAGGAAGCTTTCCTTGTAGACTTTGAAAACACTCAGAACCTTGAAAACATCTGGTATGTGCATGTTGTGGTCCTGCCGTATACTAGCACATGTTGCGATTACATGGGAGTAAGGTAAATCAAATGTTTGAAACTTTCCACAATCGCACCACCCCTTTCTGAAATCAACGCTAAAAGTACCTAATGGTCGCCCATTGTTTTGATTAATCCTTTTGGCAACCATAAAACAGAATCTCTCGCGATTGAATTGGATGACATTATGGCTGCTAGATTTACTCGCTTCTTCAGTCATTCCCTTATTAAAATTATCTGTGAAAGGTTGACCAGAAGCCAACATTTTTGTCCAATCACGACCCCATTTTCCAAACAGCGATAGTATGTAGGTTTGACCAATGCAGTAATAGGATGGTTTCGAGTAGCCTTAAGTACCAAGTTCATTGCTTCGACCAGATTTATTGTTATGTGTCTCCATTGTTGTCCTCCTTCATACACCCTTGCCCATTTCTCTCGGGGAATACTGTCTTTCCACTCCAAAACTGCTCTATTTGATCTTCGTATTTCACCCCGATAGTAGTTAAATGTTGCCTCCATCAACGCATATCCAATAGTAAAAATGTTAAGTAAAACATTTGAAAATCAATAACTCAATAAGTATTTATTGTAACTATAAACATGTGAAGATGGAGGCATACCCATGTTGGCAAGTGTTTTTCGTAGTTCTTTATCTGTGAACTTACACATGAAGTTCTGTGCAATGTGTCTGATATAGTAAACATGTGAAGATGAAGGATATTTCCATCTATTTTCAGGATCATTGTAAGCACTCTTGATCGATGGATGTCAGTCAGATATGAGACATAGATTGCCCTAGGGGGTCACGTTCATTCTTAAATTCCCGAGAAAGAAACTTCAACCATCCTTTGTCTCACCTTCAACTAATGTGAATGCTATCAGGAAAATGTTACCGTTTCCATCTTATTCCACACCCATTGAAAAAGTCCCTTTGTACTTGCCATACAACCATGTTTCGTAAACCTGCACAATAGGCTTACAATAAGTAAAACCATGGATACACAGTTGAAACGCCCAAAAAAGATTGTGAAACTTCCTCTTTTCGCCCAATTGGGTTCCGTCGTCTGTAATTAATAGCAACGTTTCCAACTATATAACAGTTCCAAGAAGATAGGTTCTCATCACCAACAACCACGATGGTAGGTCATTGTAAGACGTCTCCCAATTCCCATAAAGTGATTCTAAGGCCTTAATCTTTGCAATCCATACTTTCCTGTATGAGATTCTATAACCGAATTTCTCGGCAATATGGGCGATTATTACTTTAACTTTTAGTGAAGCGCCACTGTTAACAAGTTCCCCGATGTTATGGCTAATAATTTTTTAATCTAGTTTTCTATGATCCTGTGACATGGAAGTCGTTGTGAAAGTGTGGGATCCGCTTATAGTAGCAATCTCTTATATTGAGCTCTTTTTACGCAATGAAAATCTACATGTGAATTTGCATTATGGGTTCTTACATTTTATTATATATCTTGCTAAATCAGATTTATATACTCCATAGTCAAGATTTTTACTTATATGCCAATGTTGCAAAAAAAGAAAAAACACTTCCTTATTTTCAAACATCAGTCATACTTCTAAGTTTTCACCAATATGGTTTGGTGTGTAGTTTTCAAAAATAGAGATAGGTTGAGAAGACTCCAGACACATGTTTGACATATGTGCAGATGGATTGTACAAATTAATAGGTTGAGCATTTGTTACCTGAGAATGCACGGGGAGAATATCCTTTTCATCGCTATCGTTGAAAAGATATTCAAAGCGAACCTCATGTAGTTCATCGTCACTGTATTCACCAACCTCTTCATTCAGTATGAAAGGTTCATTACTTTGTATAATTTCTTCATTAGTTGCTTGGCTCAATCCGTACTGATGTGAATGAGATGATTGTGTTGGATATATTTCATCATCAATGCGAACATGTAACTCAATCGTGTTCAAATGAGGAACTGTATAATGAAACTGGAACATTGATTTGACTGAATCGTTTGTATCTATCGGCTTCATTACGTAGAACACACCACCACCATCTCCATTAAGTAATGGTTGGCGGTAAATAATTTTAAGAACTGAGCGTTGCACTTTTTTTCGATGCTTTTTTTTAGAGAAAGAATATCAGAACTGCGATGAAGTTTGAACATCATCATATTTCGCTCTAGTTCTTTGGTTCGAATAGTTTTTGACGGTTCAATCTGAGTTTTCCGGTTTTAACCCACCAGCTGTTGTGAAAGGTTGACCCAATGATCGAAAAAATAGCAAGTGTACTATTTTTCCAATATAGTAATAAAAGGGTATTTTCCCGAATATCAATCTCGAGGACTGCGTAGGAATATAAGTTATGAATTCAATTTAATTAAACAAAAAGTACTTGGGGGTTGAGGATTATTTTGTGAAATTATAGAGCAATTGCATAAAAATAAAGAAAGTATTTGAGTGGTTTAGAAAATAATGAGTAAATTATGCTAGAGATGGTGTGTGATATGACTCAGTAACAATTTTGAATTACACTGCAATAACTTATTGTAACTAACTAATTATCGATTCTTTAAAATGTTTACTCCTAAGTCCTTAGTGAGAAAATCTTTAATCATCCACCCTAATTTCTATGCCCATAGAGAATTACAGATGAAATTAAGCAATCAATTATCAAGAATATTCTAGTTTCTATAAGGTATCTCTAGTTCTAGGTGATATCTATTATTGAATGATCCAACACAAAGCATTAACAACGACAGTCTAGCCTAATCGTTAATAAAAAATCAAACATTGTTTGTCCGACAGGGCAAGCATTAAAAATAGCTAGAGATCAAATCAATTATGAAAAACAAAGGAATTGTTATTGTAATACTAATATTAGAGTCATTACAGATTCAAATCAGGGACACCCCTAACGTTAGGGGGTTTAGCTACTCATAATATTCAAAGAAAATACAAAGTAAAAACTAAAGATTACAAGATAATAGAATTAATTTGATCTTCAATTGCTTCTACTAATGAAAATCTTCAGTTCCCCAATC